CAGGACCGGATCGCCCACACGAGGTCGAGAACCCCCCCCCGCCCCGACCCGCCCCGCTCCAGATTCGAAGATTCCCCTTCTATTTGGAGAAAGGCCCCTTCGAATCCGTTGCGCAGTTTTCTCTCCGGCTGGGTTTCTTCGCGATTGCCAACATTCTTTCCGCGGGAGGAAAAATTTTGGCAGAACACCATACGGCAGCGGCGAAATTTGCATATCGCTCTGGGATGGAACCACGAGACTTCCCGAAACAAAAACAAAAAAAATCGGCCAATTTCCGAAAAAAATTGCAGTTCGGGAAATTTGCGACTCTAAAATTTGCTCTGGCGAGCGAATTTGCGAGGACCGGAGGAGGGACTCACCGACGGAGCTGACGCGCGGAAAAACCGCGAACGGGCGCGCCAGCGTCGCGGGCGAACGCGCGACTGCGACTCGTCGCGCTGCCGCCGCCCGGGCGAGTGCGAGAGTCGCGCGGCGGCCGGGAGATGGCAGCAGTGCGGAGGTGCAGGGTTGCCCGATGTCGCGGAGGGAATTCCCGCGCTCCGAGCGGATCGCCTCGCGAAAACCGCGGCGACCGCGGCGACCCGAAACGAACCGGTCCGGCTTCTCCGTCTCCCTCGTGCGACGAAATCGCTTCGACACCGGCTGCAGAAAGTGCGCGCAAAAATTTTTTGCTCCCTTCGTGGCGCGAACGAAAAAGGAATCGCGTCTGCGAGGCAGTCGAAAATCGAGGTCGCACTGTCACCGAAACCCAAGAGTGTCACATCTGTCACATGTGACGAGCGTGTCGTCTCCCCCAAGGGAAACGTTGTTCGCAGCTGCAACGCGAGCATGGCTTCGGGGTCGGGTCGGGTCGGGTCGGGGCGGGGCGGGGCTTTGGGGGAAAATTGAGCCATTGGTATCTGGATGTGTCACAAAATCGATGAGACTTCAAGGACGACTGATGAATCGCCGACAGAAATCATCCCGTGGTATTCCTATCGGAAGATCCGAGAAAACCGGACTACTTTTTATTTATTTATTTTATTATTTTTATTATTTATTTTTATGTTTATCATTTTTTTTTTAAAGACGAAAACCGAAATAGTCCTAATGACGTCTGGGAACATCGAGGATTGTTTGCAAAGACAAAAGTGTTTCTGAGAAATTTTTTAAAATTGGCTCGAGAGGGCGGGGAGGGGGAGAGGGGCGGGGAGGGGCGGGGAGGGGCAGGGCTCGAAGTCTTTCAAATCATCTGGAGAGATGCACTCGACGAAAACGCGGAACGAAGAAAATATTTTTATGAAATGGTTGGGAACGGAATTTGAATTCTAAACGATAAAAGCACATTCGCTCTGAAAAAAAAAACTTAAAAAAATGAATTCCCAAATATCGCTGCGAAGATGTGGCAACTCGTCGACCCCTGGCAACAGGATGAAATATAATAAATTACCGAGTTGGAATCGAAAGTTCCTTTTTTTTTAAATGTGGTTTTAAGAGATTCAGACTTGACGGCAGAAAACTGGTTTCGACGAGTGTTGATGGATTAATCACCCCTGATTAACGACCGCACTCTTAATCCAGGGCGAAGCTCTCCTCTTCTTCGGCCCAGGGTTGCCATTGTTGCCTTCCGGTGTCGCCTGTCGCCGAGCAGACCAGACAGAATTCCATCATCCGTGAATCGTCTCGGATGAGAGCCATGCATGATGCATCGCCCTCTCGGGAGTCATTCATACATGATATATGTGGGTGAAGAAGGCATTTTGCCTACATTTGCATAATATATTGCATAACAAATTTCCAACGACTCATCGAAAGCATGCAGCAGAATCCAATATGGAAAGTAAGAAAGGAGAGGGAAAATATCACACGTAGAGGCTTCGGTCCGGTGGAGCATCGAGCCGGCCGGGTGGAGCATCGAGCCGGCCCGGTGGAGCATCGAGCCGGCCCGGTGGAGCGTCGAGCCGGCCCGGTGGAGCATCGAGCCGGCCCGGTGGAGCATCGAGCCGGCCCGGTGGAGCATCAAGCCGGGCCGGCTCCGCCTTCCTCCGTCAGGGAGTCCCAATCGACGTCTTCGAGGTCGAAGAAGTCGGTGATCTCGGACTGGTCGCGGCCCTGAAGAGAAGTCCAATCCCAAACGATTCATTGAACAATAAGAACTTGCAGTTTTAAGAATTTGCAAAAATTCTGTGCACTCCCCTGCAAAAGCCAGCCAGCAATTTCTCATGCATCAAGAAATTTAAAGTGGAGAAAAAAAAAACAAAAAAAAAACAGGCACATTTCCATTTCCCAAACGACAAATTTCTGCATCGTCGGTCGATGATCCTCGGGCCCGCACGGAAATACCGCAGCAAATCGATGGGATAGCTCGGCAGCAATCGTCATCGTGACCGGCACAATCCATGCTACATCGTTGTAAAAAAAAAAAAAAAAATGTGCGGTTGCACGGGGTGCAATCGGGAATTCGCATCGGAAGAACCGAGAATCAAATTTCGACAATGAAATTTTCGCTGCTGAAACGAAATCTCCAAAACTCCCATTTGTCCGTCTTCAAAATTTACCCGACTTATGAGCTTCAGCCTAATCTGCACGGCGAGCAAATGATTCTTCAATCTTGCATCGCTCCTCTAAAATGAAGCCAGGGCTTAATGGGCTTAACAGAGGCCATTCAACAGAACAAACGATGCCGCCGAATCGAAACGTCATCGTGCCAAAGGCCGATGCCAATATTCTCATTCTATGGGACATTTGCACAGAAAAAAAAAATTCATGGGAAGAAATCAAGCAGAAGCTCATAAAAATTGCAGGTCAAAACCCATTGCTGCCTTCAAAATGCAGGATAAATTATGTTTAAAAGAAACAACTAAAACATTGGACACTGAGTGAAAGCCCTCACAGGTGGCTATTCTAAAATTTATGCACCGTGATGAATGTAATGAGAAAATGGCAAATCTTGCTTTTTAACATGAAAAGTTTTCCATTCTGCAACTTCTCACAAGGAACTTATCATGCAGAAAAATCATAATACATAAAATATGTGACAGTTACATGCAGTTGCCTTCACCAAATATATTGATATATTTTCCATGCATTGACAACAAGTACACAAGCATATGATCCACGTGAAGCACATTCATGCATTAAACAGCTGGGCACCATGTATTTTCGACAAATGCAAATCGTCGGGTCTGCGATCGGGCTCCTCCGCGTATGATGACAAACCGAGTCGAAGCGTGCGATTTCCACACGCAAGCGCACGAGCCACCCAACCTAAATTTCCATAACAGCCTGTAAAAATTTCCATCGGGAGCTTCTCTCGCCGACACGGACCCGGCTCTCGAGGAAAAGACGAAAAGGGAAAAGGAAGAGGAATATGATGCAAGATGATGAAATCTACAGTCATCACTTTAATTTTTTTCTCGTCCATCCTTTGTCGATACTTGCACAACTTGACAAATCTGGATTTCTAGCTGACAGTAGAGTTTTTGTACAATTAACCACAATAGTGGATATTTTTATTCACTTACTTTACTTACTCTAATGTATTTTGGCACTTTCGATGTCATTGCAGTAGTGGATGAAGTGCCTATTCTCAGGATAGTACCAGAAATCAATTTGCAACATTTGAACAAGATTTGCAAGGGTGACTTATCATATGTGTTTCAGACCTGATCTGTTCTTTCCAATCAGGCATGACATATATGCCCTACTGTATACATACTAGACATATCAATGTTACATAAATGTCCAACCTGCCGCTCCACATCTTCGACGTACATGTCTTCCATTAAGTTCACGTAAGGCCTTGGTAAATATACGTCCACATATTAGCTCCTATGATGGACCTCATATGTCACACAATATATGCCCGTTTCTCATAAATTCATGCACAGAAACGACGAAAGAAACACCGGCTCACCCCGACGCGAGTGGTGTCGGCATCCCTGAAGTCGTCGTTGCTGAGTCCCGCCAGGTGGAGGACGTCCAGTTTCCGCTGGATCATCGGCCAGAGGTGATCGTCCGCCGTGCCTTCGGCCAGAAGGTACTGGACGATCACGCAGTCCTCCTGGCCGATGCGATGCGCCCGGTCCTCGGCTTGGGTCAGCAACTGCGAGCGGTCACAGAGCGCGTCCAATGGTTATGTTTTCTTTGAGATTGCAACAAAAAATGCTTCTTTTGTTAAAATTGCTCAGGTTTCATAATGGTACTATCTTATTCCTTGATGATGTACAGTATTTTGGCTTACTCTTTCAGATACAGCAGCCATTGAAATCCTACGAATACTTTTCCTATTGGGAGGGCCATTTACTCTTGTGTATTCAAGAGTATTCAAGATTCATACAATGGAAACATCATTATTGGTGCTCAATCTCCATAGTAACTTCACCTTATGCTTATGTGAGTATCTCGTCCTAAATGGTAATACCGAACTACTCGGAGGCTTCGGCAACAGCACGTCCAGGAAGGAGGTCTGACCGGGTTCTCACACGCTCTTCATCTGCTGATTCATTAATAATGCCTCTATGAAGTGTGGGGTGAACATAAAGGCAAAGTAACTTGGATGCATTCCTCATTGAATCAGCAAACTACATCCTGCTGTTGGTAGAGACAATCAACTGCTCATCTTCAACTGTTCACCTCAGGAAGCCTTAAACTTTGCCCACAGACACTCTACTCCTGTTTCCCACAGCTACCATGTTGAGCCAGTAAGACTCCAAACCCATGAACATCCCTCTTTGGCAGCCAGGGCAGGTACATGACAACAAGTCAGTAAAGGTGCAAGTCACCATGGCATTGTGAGGATACCCTTTCTCACTGGGCCAGCAGGATGCATCAAAATGATCAAGTAGGTCAGCAATTTTAGGCTGATTCATGCATGTGCTAAATGTGTTATGTTTGGCTTAGAAAAGTGACTTAACCCTCTTTCATGACAGGAGTCAGCCTTCCAACACTCCTTGCAAGCAATACAGAACATATCCAGTCAATCTGACAGAAGTGCTACATGTACATTGACTTTTGATTGAATTAACCCCCCCCCCCCCCCTCCCCCACTGTGGTGGAAGTAGGAACAACTTAATTCCCATCTCAATCACTCCTTTGGCCAGGATAAATTATTTTAAGTAGGTAGAGGTTACTCAAGTTGTATGACATGTGACACCGTTCAGAAGGCAGAATAGGGGGTGAATTTAATTGAAATTCAATGAACGTGACATAAACGGACCGGGCACGGAAACGCTCATCAGTTGTATCACTTTCAGTAATGATAGCTCTCAATGATGATATTATGCTTTTGCAGAACAGGCTCAACTATGCATGACTGTCAAGAAGGGAAATAATTGCCAATGTATGACTAGCCATGCTGGGCAGAAATGAAAGTACATGACTTGCAAGAAAAGAAAAGTATTTAAAATTTCTGAAGTTCTTTCATCTCTGGCTGAGACCCACATCAGGGCAACCAAAAACCATCAGTTAAGTTCATTTTTAGAGGAAGTTTTTCCATGGAGATAACACATCAAGTTCAGTACAACAGCAATCATAACATTTATTAAGGGTAGAAGGCTACAGTGCTTCCTTTAGTAGAGGCTCCTAAATGCAACTTCTTCAGCAGAATGGCTGAGGCCAGTCGCCACTTGTCTAATGCTGCCTGCCATGGGAACTGGTTTCAAATAGCAAAAAATTGTTGATATAACTGAAAAGTTTAGTTTTACAGATGTGGAAATTCTGATGAAGTTTACTTTAATGAAACCCAACAACTGATGATTTTTTAAATTATACAATAATGACAAAGAATAAAATATTGATAAAGAACTTAAATATTGGTGTCATGATTAGAATTGACATTAAACTTCTGCATATTCATGCAGAGCATGTAGTCAAAGTGCCCTAAAAATATGTGCTAGGAAAAAAGGGACTTTCCAGAGGCCCATCAACTTTGTTTTCCTTGTGACATGAAGGTTCCAGTTTTAATACAACATCAAGATATAGCACAGTGAAGAATAGGTTTCAGATAGGACACAGAAGGTATCCTCCAGGAATTTTCTCTCCCTCCCCCTTTCCTTGCTGAAGTGATGCCCATTAAGATCCCATGGATCATTGTGCTTGTCTAGCAGATAAAATCGAAATTAAAATATTCTAAAAATTGCCATAACCCCTTCCCCCCCTCTCCTCCCCTGGTGATAGAAAATAGATTCCAAAAATCAAACAAATGCAAAGATTAGGATATATGGACCATGATTTTCAAGGCATCAGTAACAAATGTCAGGCAGCAAAAATAAAAAAGCTTTAACATCATCATAACCCAATTGTCCTCCCTCCAGCAATAAAATAATTTGAACTAAGCATTGTATGAGAGGAGGCACCATGATTCTCAATGCACTAATGCTGCTGCCCAATCACCTCTACCCCCTCCACGATAATGAATTAGATACACCACAATCTCAAAGATAGACAGCATGATTTTGTTTTGAAATTAATATCATGCAGCCCCATATCAAATCTCTTTCCCTCAGGAATCTGAGTGAATGCTTCAATGGAAGGACGAGTTTCGTGGAAATTCAGACATCCAATTCTCTAAGAACTCAGACTCACACCAGGATTCCAGAAGAGTTCTGCAAAGACAACCAGCTGAGCTGCAGTGAGCGTCAGGCCCTGGCTGGCAGCCGTGATCGAGAGGATGGCGGCTCTGTGGGCGTCGTTGTACTGGAACTTGTCGCAGAGGAACTGGCGCGTCTCGGGATTCGTGGACCCGTCGATCCGGATGTATCTGGTGACGGTAAATAAGGCTCGGTTGAAGAAACGCTTTTAGTTCAGTCTTCGGTTGGTTCCACTCACTTGACCTCCTTCTTATCCAGAGCCTCACAGAGGCCATCCATCATGGAGTGGTGGTGAGCAAAGCACAGGAATTTGCGATCTGATGCCACCAGATCCAAGATGTAATCACTACAAGAGAAAGAAAGCTCGCAATGAAAGCGAAAAGGTCCAGAGGCATACAAAGTATGCAGAAACCTTGCATCCTTAGAGAGACTGTACAATAGTGAAGTAAAACAAGCTTTACTTATGACTAAGCATTCAATCCCAGCCCAAAGAGTTCTTGTTTGGAAGCCTACCTCAACATGAGTCCTGGCCTATTATTACATAGTATCATAAGTTTTTGATTTTGCAGCCTCAAGGCCTATAACCCAGAGACTGCATGGCACCAATGACCCAAAAAATTTGGGCAACCCTCCCATAGAGGAAGTGTGTTGGCTGATGGTATTGGTGAATTCAGGGTTGCACAGTGCAACTTGGGGGGAAATAGCTAATTTAAATTTGTATTGTTTTCCCTATTGAGGAATCTCACTGGATCCATGGATTTCAGTTTCCCTTCACTCTTGCAACTTATGCCATTTCCATAGATCATTTATGAATATAACCCCACATGCCAAAATTGAGATTTGCATATAGTCCAAATTATAAACAGAAAATAGTACAAACTGTCAATACCATTCAAAGGGATATATACCAGTGGTATGGATAGAGCACACATTACATTAGTATTGCAACTGCCTGAAGAGTGGAACCAATCATATAATTAAAACCACATGCACCAGTACAGGGATGTTCAATGTTTCTCAGTAATGACACTTGCACATTAAAAAGCCATAATGGCATAATGTGAAATTTGTAATAATTTAGTATCTGTCTTGTTCAACAATCATTTGAGATTGCGCTGCCCATAATCAATATTTTCTGAGCTGCAGTACCTCCTCTAGACTGACTTTGCATGAACTGATATGAATAAAAAAAAAATCGTTAATGGAAAAATGAATATAAATATAGGCATTCCTAATTGCTACTCCATTAACATGGTCCTTGGTACCAGTTCTGACCGGTCCTGTGAACAAAGGTGAAACCAACCAGACAGCCTTGAGCTTTGCTTGGGCTGTTTCTCTAAAATACTGCAGCAGTTGACTTCTTTTCTCAGTGGTCTTCAATGTTGCACTTTTCAACATCTTGGAGAAATGCTTCATCTCGCGACTATTGTTCTTGACTTCCGATGGATCCAGCATCACCATTTGCCTATCAAATAAAATGGTTCCCAAACCATCCTTCCAAAATGACAAGTGCCATTAAACTGGTCATGGAAAACCTTCGTTTCGCTGGGAGCTGAGAGATGACTTCGGATTTCAGTCGACGGATCATGATCCGCTCTTCCATGAGCAGCTGCAGCTCCGACATGTGAGAGGAACCCGAGAAGTCCCAGCCGAAAGGTCCCTCCTTCCCGTCGCAGTAGCGCACCCCAAAGTCCTGATAGCTGGGGAAGAGTCGTGGGTCCACAGCATTCAACTGGTTGAAGAGCTCCACGGGACGAGAGAGGGCTGGCGTCCCGCTCAACAGGATGGCACGCTTGGCGGCCCTGAGGATCGGCATCGCCACTTTGGTCCGACCGCTCTTGATGCTCTTGAGCAGATGGGATTCGTCCATGACGACGACCTGAAAGCGACGAGACCTCAGCTCGTCCTTTCGCCGAGACATCAGGTCATAGCTCGTGATCAGGACCAGCAACGAGGTCGACAGTGGCTCCTTCCCGGTGTGAATGACCTGGATCTTGTCACTTGGGACGCTGGGAAGCCATTGCTGAATGCTCTGCAGCCATGCATATCTGAAGTGGAATTGCACATTGATCACGAATGCAAAGAGTAAAGTTTTCAGTCTCAAGAAGGCAGACCTCACCGAACGGAAGAAGGAGCAACAATAAGAAGGGGCCATTCCTTGCAATAGTAAGCGGCAATACCAAGGGCTTGAAGTGTCTTCCCCAGTCCCATGTCATCACCTATCAGCAGTCGGCCTTCCTTCCAGATCCCAAAACTGTTGATTAATAAAAATTCAGCTTTATCATTTTAAGGTATCCAAAAAGAGTTTGTTGATGAAGGTAATCCAAAATCATTTTACCTGAAAAAGAGAAGGCACAGCTAGGAAAAAATGACATGCCAAATGCTGATATGCACAACAATTTCTTTTTAAGAAAAAGCTGCAAGGGATAACATTAATATACATTCTGTAGATGGAATCATCGTATGCTCCTGGGACAAGGATCTGAGAGATGGAGATCCTGAGCTCTCTTGAAAGAAAGAACCGATTATAAAAAATGGCCAAAAAACACAATTTCCAGAGCTTGCCTTTCATTTTAAAAATAATCAGCAACTGCCATGTAACCATCTAAATGCTTCCAGTCAATCCCAAGATGTATGAAAGCCACACTTCCACCTTCTTTTTGAAAAATAAATCTGAATGTTATTGACATTCATATTGCCTACTTAAGAGAATTAAGTTTGGATAGGTATCAGTGTTTGTAATTTCATGAATAAAAACAGTTGCATTTTTTTAAACCTTTTTCTTTGCACATTTATAAAGGAATAACCATGGGGGCACAAGACTTAATCCAAAATTCATTTGTTGCAGAATCACTTCATAGTTTCTTAGCCAAAAAGAAGAGTAGTTTCAGTAAATTGATCTCACCTCCCTTATATCTTGGATGCACATTCCCCAAGCTTTAATTGTTTTGAAAAAGTGACTTCATATAGAGACAGTACCATTCAAAAGTTTAATGCTAAAAAAAAATGCTGAAGGTAAATGGATCAGGAACATGTAGTCTTGGTGAGCATGAAGCAATTCTTTCTTTGCTCTCTCCTACATCTATTTTCTGCACCATAATTGCAATAAATATTTGGTATGAATAAATGGCATCCTTGAGGCATAAATTCTCATATCTTTTGTTGGCAGAGCATGCTCAAGAATGCATAGACCTATGCAAGAAACACCTGCAACTTCTGCCTTACTATGGTAAATCTATCCATTTCTGCATAATGTTTGTACTGAACTGAATGAAATGCTGTGTTAATGACCACATCATTCAGCTTGTGATGGGTTTTAGCTAATACTGGACAACCTTTTGTGATTGTCAATCACCAGTGATCATCCAATTCCTGCTGATGGATTTCTAATGCTTCTGAAGCATTCAGTCTTCCTCAATTGGCAGAACATTATTTTCTGAGAACTCCCTGAACTCAATCCCAGTACCAAGAGTTTCGAGCAGTTTCATACCCGGAGGCCATTCCTGGGACCTGACCACCAACTGTTACCTTGTGCTGCCTGTAATAGGCACAGGAGAAAATGGAAAATCTACAGAAAAAATGCAAGCAGTCTGAATCTTGATTGATGAGTGCAACTGAACATGAGACACAGTAAGAATTTAATACATTCTCAGCAAGAACACTTTCCAAGAAATTTAGAAATTTACTCACAAATTTTTCAAAAACAGAATTTCAAATGAATTGTATTGAAAAAATATCTCAAGCATGTTGGTAATATCAAAGCAATGGTTCTTAAACAAAAATATTTAAAAATATTTCTGCATTTGAAATCTTGTTGAAATTCCACAAAATAAGAGCAGTTTTAATTTTTCCTTAAGCTTTCCATACAAAGCTAAAAACAAACAAATATATAGAAAAATTTACCAGACTCCTTCTCTTTGAAACGGAAGGAGAGCCTGGGACAATTTCTCATCGATGGAACTCAAATCATAGTCTGGAATTGCTTCTTTTGAGGGGGCTTTCAGAAACACCTGCAGCACAAACAACACCATATTTTTCCACATTCTTCAATTTGCAACGACCAAAGAATCAAAGAGAGGATTAAAAATCACCTGGAGAACACTGGGAGGGAGTGGAGCAAATGAAACTTTGGGCCCCAAGGCAGCAACAGCTTTTTTCAGGTCATCATGATCTTTCAATGAAAATCCCCACTTCCTATCCTTTTGATCTAAAACCAAGAGAGTAATAGACAACTGTGCAGGACAGAAGAAAACCATTTAGACTTTGTCTCATGGCACTGACTGATCATCCACAATTTAGAAATCCCAGCCTCCCATTAGAGGATTTCATGCACAAAAAAACATCCTATCCTGTCACATGCAATTACAAGTTTAAATAATGAAACAGTGCATCTGTTATGATTCACTTTCTTGTTCAGCATGAAAATTTACTATCATTGCAAATGCTATGTATGCCATCCTCTTGAATTTGGAAGAGAATCTTATAGGCCTACTCTTACAGATGTTATTTTTTAACTGATAATATCTTAATAAAACAAACCATAACTTTTGTGTCTGGATGATGCTGATGCACATAAAATCCATTAGATTACTTGCATGATTTTCCTGGGGCCAGCCACTTACCATACATTCGACTAGGCATGGTCTTGAAGATATGGATGAGCTGTTCGTGGTAGGGCACATCCACGACGAAGCGGTCCCGGCTCACCAGCCGACACACCCCCTTCACGGGACGCACCTCCTCATTCTTCGCAGGTGCCGCCAACCGGGGCATCTTGGGCGGGGAGGCGAGGGCTGGTGGTTGCGTCTGGTCCTTCAGCTTGGTGGCAAATGTGAGTGGTTTTGACTGCTCCTTGGGCTGTGTGGGGAGCGAAGGGGGTTGAGGCTGCTCCTTGAGCTTGGCCGCTCGACGCTCCAAGGCCGCCTTTCGACTCTCCTCCATGCGACGTTTCTGCTCCTCCGTCAAACCATGCATGGTGTTTTTTCTTTAGGAAATGCCCTCCTATAAAAATAAGCACTTGTTGCATAAAGAATGGATTCTGTCAATGTACACTAGCGCCAATGAACATCATTTCATTTTTCAGAGCAGGTCAAAGAAACTCAGGAAACCCAGGACAGAATCGTCCTGGTCGTTAGGCAACTATTCTGACTCCTTAGATCTATAAAGGCAAATCAAGCCCATCAACTTCTTTTTCTGGAATATTTTCAATAGCACAATATATATATAAAGACACAGTATTCTCCCAGGAGCTCGTACTGTGCTGCGGGATAAGGGAAATAACGTTTGACTTACTGATGGTAAACAAGACACCACACCCAGAACGAGGAACTTGCACGCAGCAATTTTCAATATTTGTTAATTTCATTTACTTTTCCCTGTATTTTCATCGTCTCTACGGTCATCTAAGTGGAAATAAAATTTCACAGATTCAACCGATCGCCACGTCACGAAAGCAGGCAGCGGACTTGGAAGCAAGGGCAGCACGTGTCCCGATAGAGAACCGCCATGCTCAAAGCGGAATGACCAGTGTGGACGGAAATAATTTCTTTCTTGGCAGCAACATATGCTCTTCGTTTCGGCTTATTTGCTTCTCTTTACCATCCATTGGTACCAATGACTTGTATTATCTTTTTCGTGAGTTTTAATCTTTTTCAAAAAGCATTTTATTTATTTTTACTGATATCTTGCAATCACATCATATTTGAATTGCCGATAGAGAGCAACCGTGGTATGAAGCCAAAATAAATGGCGTCTTCTCTAGCGCGCGTTTACAGAACATAAAGGTTTCTATTCCAACTGAATTAAAGCTTGTAGATACAATTTTTCGCAAGAATACTGGGTTTTTTCTCTCATACTTGGCTTAGGCCTTCAGTGTCATTTTTCAAGCAGTGGCCACCTGTGGCATTCCTGCGCATTCCATGTAGATATGTACGAATCTTCTCCTTTGGTGAACGGTACTTCGAGTTCGATGGACGAACAGGTTCCTCCCCCCACTCTGGAAGAGACGACTGCTGCTCTCTCGCGAGAGATCAGGAGGAGATCCAGCATTCGGCGAAGTTTGGGCTGCCCAGAAGAAGAGAGAGTTTCTGATGCTGAAGGTGAGGGGTTTTAACCAGGCCTGGACTGGCTGAGTCGGTTTCCCGTTCAGAGTATATTATGCGCTATTGTGAGTTGAATGTAGTTTCTTAACCGAAATTGGAAAATGGATATTCATATGAAATGCTTTGTCTGAAATTTTGGGTGCTTGGAAACATGGAAGATGTTACATCTTGCATTGCAGCAACAGCTTCAAACTTTATAAAATATTTTTGACCCCAGCTTGTCTCTAACCCCAATGGTACATTCCCCCCAGTTCTGCCGGAATTGATGCTTTGATCTAACGATGCTATATGGATTCATCATATGTCAATTATGTTATTAAAACATCAGACTTGGCACTGAGAGGGAGATTTTGCTCCAGAGATGAAGTCACTTTTGCGTGCTGCAAATCAGCTATTGCCTCCTGTTAGTATGGGAGGAATTTTTTTTTATTTCTGTGGATGATCCATACCCTTACTCCTTGTTTACATGAATCCCTGATGTAAAATGTCATTCTTTATAGCTCTTACCATGATTTCTGGATGTCAAGCCCCATGTGCGATCTTGTCAGTTTGAAGGTTCGGGCCCTTCTATTTCCAGCTATAGCAAAGACAAAGTCCAAGTATCTGCAGGAAGATTTAAGAGATGCCCTGGAAAATATCATTGATGGCAGCATCAAGAAGGTCGCCCCTGCCTTCGGAGAGTCGATCGCATCTTTGGAAACTCTGCTACCTTCTCGTGTGCCTCTGATCGCCCAAGCCCTGGAGAAGAACGGATACATCAAGGACTTGGTATCTGCAGTCTCGCAGCAGAAGTTAGTTCAATAATTTTAGAGTTTAGTTGAAAATTGCTGTAGATGATGGTGACTTTGGCAGACTTTACTTCTCCAGGGATGCATACTGGGAGCCCCACATTGCCAGGTTGCAGAAAGAGAGTGAAGACTGGAACCAACTACTTCACGATGCAGTTAACTTCTCTCGTGAAGCTGGCCTGTGAGTGCTTTAGCTTTTCCCTGCCTTTTATTATTTTCTCTGGGCATGTTCTGCTTTTTGCTCTCATGCAAAACTTGAGAAGCCATTCTGGATCATGAAATATCCCCTCTTGCTGACCTTCCTGGTGGTGAATCAATATTAGAAGTTTTTTATTCAAATATTCTGCCTGTGTTTCTTCACATTTTCCAAATATGCTTTAGTGTAAAACTCTTGGTGCGACATCATGATCAATCCTTGCCTTAGGTTTATCCTTCCCTTAGGTTTATCATCGCTATCATGTGTCGTCTTGACCCCATAAACATTTCATTGAAATTTTTACCATGGCCAATCATTGAAAAAAAGCAGAGCCCTAACTACTGATTGGGTTTTGTCCTGTTACTTCTTTTGCAAAAAAAAAATGGAGTGGGAGTTCCTCACCTTGCACCCAAGTGTTCCATTTGAATATGGCAGTCACCCCTTGATATATCACATCTCAATATTCTGCCACTCTCCCTTCATTCCACCCTTCCACCTGTTTCTTGAGAACAAATCTTCTCTATGAGGTTAGCACAGCCTAACCCCTGATGTACTGCTACCATCCATGAACACCATTTATGCAAACGTGCTTCTTCTCACATAAATCCTCCTTGATTTTGCACTGAGTGGCATACATACCACAACCATTATCCAGTGTGAATAGCTACATACCTGTTGCCACCATGAGAGGTGACTCATAACTTTGGTATGGATGGTGTGTAGGGGAAGTGTAGAGTATCTTGAAGTGTTGAGTATAGGATTCAAATCCATTGAGTCAATTTGTTCTTTGCAGATTTTGGTATTGTAAACCATACTGCTATTAGAGTTCCTCCCTTGCTATAGCACCAAAATAGACAACCACCAACAGTGGCATCTTGAGGGTCGACTGTATATCATTAGATTCTTGTGAGGCTTTAGTGAGTATTCATAGGTGCTGGTGCAACTCATATACAGAGAGTGAAATATGTCATTTGCCCTTTTTTCAAAGTGCTCCATTTGTAGGTCTCTATGATTTCTGGTGCATGTACCATAAATCAGCAACAACCTGAGTTCAATGACCAAAGTTCACTTTTTTACCTTGTCTCTTTTTTGGATGCAGCTTCTTTTGACAATATTGACCAAGTGTACCTCATGATCAGTAAGTCCACTTTCTGAAAAATGTATTACTTTCTAATGGCATGACCTGGCAATGAGGCTTAAAGCATTGTGGTGAGAGCCTTGGAAATGATAAAATTTGATGTTTCTTGCAACACTCAATTTTCACTATCTTTGTAAGGAGCCACATCGTCTATGTGGTATAGAACTAAAAAACCTTTTGCATTTTCCAGATGAATAGAGTGAGCCATATGCTTTTACTTTCTCACAATGAGACAAGTCTAACCCCTTCCATGATGTGCCTGAACTCAGTTTGGGCACAGTAGTCTGGGTCAAAATGGGTCAAACCCGGTTCAGACAGCAGAAAAGAATTCTGTGTTGAACTTATTAGCCAAATATTGTTACAAGACTTTGTATTCTGCTATTAAAATGTTCATAAAAATGAATTTTACAAATAAATAATTTGACTTTTTTGGACTGAGATTTAGGCTAATAAACAGGCACTGAAGGGGTTAAGGAGTCTGAAGTTACTAATTTTATAAATAAAATGGCCCTTTTAAAATAAGTCTATTGCTTATGAGTTTTTGTTCATTAAGGAGCATATGGTCTTCATGTAGTTTTATGTGTGAACTCATTTTTTTTCTGATTTTCATGGTTGCTAGGTATTACATCTGTCCTTGGATGGCATCAATGTTTGAGAGAGTGTAACATCTGTGGGAAAGACATACTTTACAAGCTTGGCTTTGGATTTGCTGCAAGCCCATAGCCAAGAGAGTTATTCTCAGAAAGACTTGGAACTTGCAATTGAGGAGTCAGTCCTCAAAGTACACTGATCTTGCTCATAAACTGATCGTTCTTTATTCTTATGCATGCCTTTACATATGATGTTTCTTAAGGAGTCAAAGTATTTCCCTTTCATTTATATGGAATACTTATTGCCTTTTTTGTCTGCTTGACAGCAAGAGGAGTGAATACCAAAAGCCAAGGGAAGCAGTCGAAGTGCCCGAAAGTAAAGTGAATGAAGTCCTCCAGAATTTTGGAGTGAATGTGGCAGAAACACAGGAGCTGTGGCAGCATGATTCTCACTTACTGAACCAGTTTCTACAAAAAGAAGTGGAGACAGTGCTCGAGAATGTCACTCACTTTCAGTCTCTTATTCGAAGTGAGCTGGAACATTTGCAGGAATTACATGGTGAGTTAAATTCTGATATTGTCTTCGTTCTTACAGTTTCTTGTTATTGAAGAATCTTTCATCTTTCTTTAAACATGAATTTCATGGGTTTTTGAAGTTGTAAGTGGATACCAAAACTTGGAGTTCTAGCCATTATATTGAGGTGCCCATGTTTCTATGTGAATTTTACATGATGTATTTAAAAATACATGTTTTAGGTGGCATTGTGGCTTGTCACTGGAGAATATTCAAGCTTCCTCTCGATAACCTTTTGTTCAGGTCACATATTTAAAATTGTGGTTTTACTGTACTAAATCTCAACTGGATATGAGGAGCATTCTATCCATTTATCTTGGTCTACTTCCTTGAACAATGTCTCACTAATAGAGGAGACTTCTTTGACTGTATATTGTTGAAAGTGATCATTGGATTTATATTGATGTTGGCTTTTTTTGTTCCATTTTTATAGCTTCACATATTAAAGGAGAGACCAGTACTCCCAGGACAGTTCTTACCAAGGGCATTGATGTGGATAATCATTCTCCTCTGGAAGCTGCAGATGGACCAACAGAGTTATGAATCTCCAAAGAAATTTTTAAAAAAGAATGTGCAATAGCACAAAAATAGCATTATTCGTCTGCATTCACTATCTTTCTTTTATGAGAGCTCATTGTAAATGGGCATTGATGAATGAATGGAATGAGCTGAAGAAGGCAGTGAAACAGGCAGTGCAAACCCAGTAAACATGCACACCCAATTAGCATGGGTGTAAGGCACTCACAGGGACTGTCAGACACAGCACTACATTTACTTTGGAAAGGGTCATTCAACCCCAACTAAATCAGTTGTGACAATTTGACCTTGGATTACAGAGTTGGTCTTGTTGATATATTGTTTCACCTTGAGGCTCTTGTCCATTCTATTTATTTTCCAATCCATAAATTTTTGTTCTGGAATCCAAAGCTTCTGGGTTGACATTCTTTTCATGGTGGGGTTACTGGCAGGCATCTTAAAAACACTCCATGATTCAAATTTATTTTCATAGCCAGTCAAAGGCAAGCTGTTGAAGATGAGAACAGATTCAGATCAGAACAGGTTTGCATTGTATATTTTTCCTTATCTCCTGCAGAAAAATTAATAATAAAGTAAGAAACTGTTTGAAATTTGCAATTTTATTTCAGTGTCTCTTATTAGATTGGCCATGTTTCATTTTCCCTCCATCAAGTAGATCCTGTAAGTTCAGGTCTAAAACTTTGTAAATTTGCATTCAAATTCATCAGTCAATTTTGACAAAGTAACAGTTCTATGTTCAACTGCGTCACTGACGATTATTTCATCGTGTTTCCATGCTTCATCCAGGAATAAATATTCAAAAGTTCCATGTAAGCATTTGATTTTTAAAAAAGACAGGAGGATCATTACATTTGAAAGATGTGGCTATATGAAGACGATCATTTAGATTAAGATTAGATTTGGCATGGATAATACCTTATATGAGAGGAAAACCAGTTTGATTTGCCCTCTTGGTTTATTGGGTGGTTAATTTTTGTCGTAAGCAGAATCAAATACTGCTCTTAAGGCATAAAACATGACATTTTGTAAGGATTTAGATCCAGATTCATTAGCTTGTTTAATATCTATTGAATAGTTCTTTCACTTTGCTTTTGATACCCTTCTTGTTCAAATAAAGTCTTCACCTTTAGGATGTCTGTTACCATTGACCTTCCTTTGCTTTGAAACCTCATATTTATATATAAGTTACTTGCACGGTGTGCTCCATGTGTACAAAAGCCATACGTGCCTAGAATGTTCCAGTGACCCACACAACTATTGCATCCCCCAATAATTTACGGTCAGTCATTTTTTGCTTGGACAATTACGTGCGTCCTTCACCTTGCTAATAACTGTTGGCTGTATGCCACATGGTTCCAGAGGGTGTACAGGTTCCAAGGGCACCGTCTCCTTCATTTGCATATTGGGGATTCATTTTTGTCAATGTTTTACTTGAAAGGCTCCTTTCACCATAGCAGTCCTGAAAATTATCTGGTTGTGATTGTTTTAATACTTTGAATCCAAGAGATGATGGGAAGTTTCCCAAAACCTTATAACAAAGGTGCTTGATACAAAATGTACTTAGTTTCTGTATCACACCTGTAGTGCTACTATGTATATTGGGTCAAACTTTTTTGGGTTTAGACAGTAACTTGTACTCTTCAGCAAACCTATATTTCCAGTAGTGTACTACTTGATTCCAGAGATATACAGGGTTGCCTAACCCTAATTTCCTTAACTTGCATGACAAGCTTAATTTTTTTCCCTCAGAGTATTTTCTTGTTTCAGGCATCTTTCATGTGAGCTTTTGGGAAACTTCCTGTCACCTATTAGATGCAACTTGTGAAAACAATATGGAATGATGAGATCATCTTCAGGACTGCTGTAGCGAAATGGAACCTTTCATGCATCATAGGAACAAAAATGAATGCCACCATGCAAATCAGGGAAATGGTATCTCTGAATTTATACACCCTTTGGAACCATTTGGCATGCTGAAGAGTTCAGGTCAAGCAAGAAGGTCTGACCCCATGTCAATGAGAGACCCAATGGCTTTGTTTCATGGAAAATTTTCACATTCTTGGTGGGCTTTCATATTCTTTTGCACTGTCTACATTTGCTATAAGTCAGGGAATATCTCCAGGGTTTTTTGCACACTTCTCAAATGTCTCATGACATGGACACCACGAATGTGATGAACATTGTGACTAAAGATCAGTATTACCCTTGCATTGAATCTGTCTAGGCAGAGGGTCAGAGCTAGGGGAGCCAGAACCTAAGTAGTTCATGGTGAGGGTTTAACCTGAAGCTGTCATTTACAGCAGTGTCATTTAACTTTCTTTCATTGCATTGGCACAACTGCAGGAATTATGGGAACCTGAAAATGAGACTCCACAGAAAAGAAAAGTTGCTGGGGTTGAAAGAGTTGATGGGACTCACTAGATTAAAGAACAACCAAAGTGACACATGGCATCTTCATAACATTTTCACTATGTTGGATGTATTGCTTGGTATTGCAGACAAAAAAATGATTGTTTTCATAACACGACATCCCCTCTTCTAGGACAACTTCTTTTCCTGGTACCAGGGCTAGATTGAAGAGTTGTGAGGCCATGGGCAAGTGGATTCTTGGGGTTACCACTACACCCCTCCCCCTGCTTTATGCAAATACTTAATGTTTTTAATTTCCTTTGGGGGCTACCTGGAAGAGTGGGACCCAGGGCAACAGCCCCCTGTACCCCCCCTTCCTTCTTAGTTCATGTTAAAAGTAAACCCCATTCTGATATAAATGTGATATTTCTTGCAATGTCATAATTGTTCACCAATTTTTGCCTGATTCCCCTGGAAGTGAGCAACGAAAGTGCATGTGCAAACTCTTAATGAACTTCATTTAAAACTTTTGAAGAACTCACTTTGGACATAGGTTAAAAAATATTTACATCCTTGCCATGTGCTCTTCTTTCAAGGAGCCCCCATTTTGAAATTCTCATTCAAAGTAAAGGCTCAGAGAATTAAGAAAACAAACTTTAATGAAAAATTCCCTTCCCAACAAAGCAAATTTATTCATCTGCATACATATGCCAAACATTAAGACTACAAGATCAGGTATTACTTAAATCAACGGTCATGGTGTGATTTGGTTGATGCTTTAAAATGCTCTTCCTTTTTTTTATTTTTCCATTACTGAAGACGACATGGCTGTGCACTTTGATATGACTAGAGTTCGATGAAACTTGAAAGAACTAGATATGGATTCCTTGAACTCAAAGAGAATCCTAATTGTTATTGCTTCAAGGTTCAGGTGAGCTCATCAGACAATTGTTGTCATTTTATCTTTGTTGATGAGGAGGCACTCAGAATAAATCCTATTGCAGTTTGAAGATATTTCATCTAACTTATGGTGGAAGGAATCATTTTTTCATTTTCAATATGCAAAGTTGAGCATGGGTGAAGGGACTAGCTAGAAAAGGCAAGTTTCTCAAGTTGCAGAAATTCTTTCCCATTTGTCCTCAGGCTCCATTGAGGAAGCCCAATTTAGGGCAATGAATTTGCTGCAAAGTTGGTGCATTTTCAAAGGAATTAATCAATTGAAACTTATATGATATAAAATTTGGGTCCCATGAAACTACATTATTTAATGCAAAAATTACTGGATGTTCTTAGCAACTGTAATGAGTGGCATTAAAGACTTCATTTTTGCTTCATTTAACAGCCAGTAAACTTGGTACTAACAAGAACCTGAAGTTAAAATGCTAAAACTGAAATTTCAGGAGAGTCGTCATAAATTCCACTTGATGAATGTGTGAAGATTGTATATCCTCTTGGGATTTGTGATATTCTATATTCATAATGTAATTGATCATCTTAAAATGTTCTGAAGGGGTTAAGTAAAAGGGATGTTTTAGGATTATTTTAACAAGAAAAACGGGTTTCCAGCAAAAGTTGGAACAAATGTCATATACACCCATTAGGTTATGACTGCTTTGTTTCTGCATTAAGGATATTGTAAACAGAAAACAAGAATTTTAAGGTGTTGCTAAAATCTTTTATCGGTCGAGTATCCTTAGTTAGAAATTTGGTATAATTCTGCAGAGACTGCAACATCGTGACCTCAAAACTTAAAAAGCATGTGCATAGGTAAGGTCCTGATTGGCTGAGATTTGTTTTTCAGGAATGGGATGATGCGTGCCAAATCATATGCAGATCCACAAGATGAACCCTGATAAACCTTTCCACATGTCAAAATCACTTGAGATGTAATGATTCTGAAAACATTAAAAGAAAATTTCCATCCTGCCTGCCTTTTTCAAGGTTCTGATGCTTGGAAATGTTTCTCTTGAGAAGTGTGGAAGTGTGATGAAGGAAGAGGTACTAGGAAATGAATAGATAAATGTTCCTTTTTTTTTTGTCTTTTTTTTCTCAGTTAGAACATATGTATTTCCATGCTAATTTGGCCTAATATAGGTATTTAGAATTATTATACTCAGATTCACCTTTTGAGAGGTATGCATTGAAGCTTTCAGTTAAATGGCATCAACATATTTGCTGAAGTTGCTGTTTTCAATAGATTCCTCCTTGAGTTGAACTTATGCAAAATATGTTTCTGTTATCTCGTCTTTCAACCTGGCTCAAGTCATTTTAATCCTTGAAATGGGTCTTAAGTTTTGCTTGCTAAATGTCACACTCTTGCCAAGTAACCAACATCCAACCTTCGGAAAATAATGAATTAATTTAAAAAGCCAAAAACTTCATATTTACTAAGTTATGATGTCTAAACTTGTCGGAGAGAGAAAAATATAGATGTGTATTTATTCAATATTAGAAAATTTATTTTCCTTCCATTTGGTGACCTTGAATGGAATTTTCCTCATTGAATGTTCAGTGCAGCTAATTTGTTCAACCAATTAATATATTTTATCAGTCACTCCAAAAAGTTCTAAAGAACCTGCAAGTGAAGAATGAAAATTTGCTGTAGACCTGACATCATATTCATCATTCATGGAACTGTTAATTTTCTCCTGCAGGGTCAGGTCACCGAGCCAGCTGGGGACGCCAGCACTGCAGGCGACCTGGATGCAACCGGCCGCGGCGGTTCGAGTTGGGAACTGCCCCCTGCCTCCCCCCAGATGGCAAGCCCTATGTGAATTAGTGGTGAATTGTGACTCCCTGTTTTACCTTGTGGTTTTTTGCATGGACTCGAATACCTAATTGCTTCACCATCACTTCTGGAGATATTCTTTGTAGGATT